GCTGAAGTAGGAGGGTATGACATAGGGTTAGCGACCCCATCCCGCAGAACACCACCTCGCCAACAAAAACCACTAACCAGAAAAGAAATAATTGATACTATTGAAACTCAACCCTGAACGTAAGAAAATCTTCATTCATTAAGGCTATTGCAAACATCTCATGATGAAAACCGTGTTAATTTTTTCGGAAGTCACGACGAAATCGATGTCTCTTTCGACAACCAAAGTAACCATTCATTCACCATATAGATAGATACCTGGTATATGCATACAATCACATAATACTTTGATAAAAACCTTTCTCAATAAACTAAATTTTATTCTCAGACAGGGTTTATTATATTTTGACAAGTAAATAAAACTGGCTAGAATACGCCCTCATTATTATTATTATTATGATTATTCTTATTGTTTCATAGAAGTACAATCAAATATAACCAACTAAGACACAAAAAGAAATGTAAACTTATCTTGGTCAATCCACAATATATATATACACATATATATTTCAGAAAAACTGTAAAATTCGTTTTGAAATGCTTACTGCCTTTATTCTTATCCCCCTAATCTTATTACCATCATGTCAAACAGGATCCACTTCACCCAACTGTACTGGTATGTTTAAATAAGCTGTTTTTTGTTTTGACTTTATTAAAAATCATAAAATGAATCATTATTAGACTATCAGTAGAAACCTAAAAAAAAACTAGACAGCCACCGTTTGGCCATGGCATGGGACGACTCATCAGTCACAGTGAACATCCAGGACTCTCGCTACTCGCTGGATTCGAACCCGGGACTGTCGGTCTTGAATATCGTACATTTTTTTTATTCATGTGATGTGGTTGTACGTTTTAAAAGATACAAATCAGGAAAAAAGAAAGAACAATAATGTTTTCTTCTTTTTATTATTTTCTCATTCATAGAAGCACCGTAAGTTCATCATTTTTGACATTCTATGCTGTAGTCATTCATGGGTTTACATATATACATAAAATAATCGATTCAAACTATTTATATCGTCAAACTTCTGTTCCGATTCTACACAATTAGTATACATACTTCTCATGTCGGTCTCAATTTCTTTACCTAATGTGTTCTCTGGTCTTTCTCTTTTCCCTTGGCCTTGAGGATCCCAAGTTAGGACACGGTTGTGTGATTTCCACTATGTGTATCCTATCCATCTTCAGTGATTCTTCTTGATTCCTACCTCATCAGTAAACTGATTTGCTCTCTCCCACAGTAGGTTGTTGCTGATGGTGTCTCGATCCAAAGTGTTTTGCATAGATAACTGTTATTTACCACTTCTATCTTCAGGATGATGGCTTTGGTAGTTTTCCAAGTTTCCGCTCCATATAGTAGAATCACCTTGACATTTGTATTGAAAACAGTGACTACGGTGTTGATTGACAGACTTGTTTTGAGTTCTCAAAGTTGTTCAATAGTAGAAGTATTGCCCTTGCTTTGCCGATCCGCGCCCTGACATCTGCACCATATCCACCTAGCTCGTCAATTAGGCTGCCCAGTACGTACATATTCCCAATCTTTTCCATCAAGTGTGATTTAGTTGGTGCACGTTGTGTCGTATCCTAGAATCGTGATGCTGAGACCTGCTGCTGCTAAGGTTGCCACTAAACCTGTCGTCTTCTCTTACATTTGTTATCTAGTGAGCGATAGAAAAGCTAGATCATCTGCGAACTCATGATGGTACAGTTGCATCCAAACTGTTCACCAAATCTCCTGCTTCCCTCCGTATACAGACATCTTCACAGTCCGGTTGATCACCAGAAAAAAGAGAAAGGGTGATAGTAAGCAACCTTACCTGAAACCACTACTTCACCTCAAACGAGTTCGTCGACAATTCTCCATGAAGTGTTTGACAAGCATTTTTATTAAAATCATTGTTAACATTGTCTTGATCCAATAAATATGAGTTTTATATAAATGAATAATAAATTAAGACAATGAAATGATTCATTTGTAATAAATACCGTCATATTGTTCTAGATTGTTTGTTTAAACAGATCATGACGATTCAATGTTCAATTTGAAATATTTCGATGTGTAATATATCTTTCAATATTATTTTTACTATTATCATTATTAAACCAGACCATCTCGAGTTTCGTGAGTAAATATTTACTTCCAATTTATATATCAAGGGAAAATCTTGTATTTTTATGTAGCGATTCTGACATTATTTGAAGCATAGAAACCTCAAGACAAAAGTGATTGATGATAGAGCTGCGAGTGTAATGAACAAAGACACTGAAATGGTCGGATGAAATAAACGATTCATTCAAAGAATACATATTGTGACGGTGTTTGGTTCTCTGAGATTTCATTGTTCTTCTGAACAACATCATCGGCACAAGCTTCAGATAGATAAGTGAAGTACTCGAATCTCTTCACGTACCACTCCTAGCTTGTTCTGTTAACCTCGATCTTGAATGGTTGCTGTTGACCTTAAACATGTCGTTGTTGGTACCTTTGTTATTTTGATTGTATCCCTCTTTTGACCTGTTTCTTGATCCTACGTCACCTATGATTTTCCTGATTGGTTGATAAATTGGGTTAATGTCAATGTGTTTGTTGATTGCTGATTGGCGTGAGTGCCAAGCTTCTAAAAATTCTATGGTGTTCTTTGTCCTCGGACAGTGAAAAACACTACATAGGACAAATAGGACGTCCTCTTCAGCTTCGTTTACGTGAAAACCAATCAGCAGTCAAACGTCACGACAACGCTTCGCTTATATCAATAGACACCGACAATTATGGACACTTGTTTGATTGGAACCATGTGGAAATACTGGATAGGGGGGGGGCTACAAAGAACACTAGAGAAGTTTTAGAAGCCTGGCACTCAGGTCAATCAGCAATCAACAAACACATCGACATTGACCCAATTTATCAACCAATCAGGAAAATCATAGGTGACGTAGGATCAAGAAACAGATCAAAAGTGGGATACAATCAAAAACAACAAAGGTGCAAACAACGACAGTTTTCAGGTCAACAGCAACCATTCAAGATCGAGGTTAGCAAAACAAGCTACAGGTCAAACGTGGCAACATTCGAATGCTTCACTACTATATGAAGTTTGTGCTGATGATGTAGTGTTCAGAATAGCAACCAAAACATCCAGCTCAGAGAACCAAACACCACCACCACCACAATCATCCATTTGGGCTACAAATTTTCTCCACCATCTCAAAGAACACGACTGTTTACCAGTAAAAATGTGTACACCTTATCTTGAGACTTACTTTCGCAAAACAACCAGGTAATGCTTAGTCTTCAAAACACAGTACATTTCGACCTGACACTGTTCTTTGCTGTGATGACTTCTTAGTACACATTCTATTGCATATTATTGAGAAGATCGTCATTGCAAGTAGCATTCACTGTACGAATTCATTTACGCGAAAATGATAACGTTCATTGTTGTATCTTCGTACTGGTTACTTGATGTTTATTAATCGTACATTTTTACGTAAATTGTAGACGGTTTTTTAAAGGATTCGGGTGAGTTATTAGTCTACATATAAGGAACTACTTCAATTGACATGATTATTTCCAGTTTTGTGGGGGAACATTCGCAATGTGATCACAAGATTTCAGTTAGAATACAATTGTAAATTTGATAGTACTGTATGATACTATCAATATGTACGCATGACCTTAGCATACAGACTCGAATATCTAACATTCAGTCTCGCACTATGTGACTCTTTTCGATAGCATGGACACAGTAGCTGATCCCCGTTGACATGGTTGGACTGACTGGGGTCATCGATGCACACTACTGAGGAGCCACATGCTAGAATGAAACATCTGTTTAATACATTCAATGTTTTCAAAAATTATCTCATTCAAATCAGTTTGTAATTTTAATGAAAAGAACTTACTTATGACAGGTTGATTTAGTTAGGCAGTTTTTCCTCACATGAAACTGATACTGTTTTGAATAACAATATCAGCACAAATTTAAAGTAGAGAGAGAGGGAAGTGAATTATTCGTATTACGCTCATCTCCAGGTATGCTTAAGACTATTACCAGTTCAGCTTAGTCGAATAACGAGATCAAAACAACGAACCAACGTCCAGGTAGGCTACTGGGCTCCCTTGACCTAATTGTACCAGAAAGTCTTGATATAGTGTAGAAAGTGCATTCTACAAACACCCAGCCAGCACACACAATGAATCCAAGCACTCAAATTGCATTTATTTATACACCATAGAGACGTCCTTGAGACAGTCACAAAAATAGCACACTAAAATAACATATCAACCAATCACAACCAAGGATTTTCCTGATGGGAAATGTGATCTCAAGGTCAGCTGATCAGTCCATGAAATAAATCCAAAATAAAGATATTTATCAAGCGAGTTCTGGGCGAGTTCTAACATCCCCAACAATTCGAAGTATTCTACAC